GTTGGTGTTGAGTTGATTGGTTGCCAAGTTGGTGTTGAGTTGTTGAGGCCCAGTAAACATGGAGGTCAGTTGGGGTCAGCTGTTATTATGGGATGTAATCTGTTATGTTTTACAGGAAACCTTTGGACCAATTAAAGATCAGAACCAAAATAAACAGGAACATTTCTGACCATTTATCTCCATAATCCATTCAAATATCTAACTAGAACAATAAACAATGACATAGATACATGGACTGCCTGAACTGTGACTGGTTACCATGGTGATGCTTTAAAGGTATACAGCAGCTGGAAATGGATCAAATGTTGCAGTTTTGGTTCCAATAGAACCGGGTCAACTGGACTGAAGGAGGAACCAGCTTTAGAACTGAATGATGGGCTGGATCCTGACAGAGTTTTTCCATCTGTCAGTACCTGATGTGGGCCAGGATCTCTCCAGACCTCTCCAGATCTCTCTGGATCTTCCCAGACCATGTCTTTCTGAGTTTTGCTTCTGTTTAGTCGTTTAATCTGATTCCTTTGATTTCTCTCGTTTGTCTCTGCAGGTGAAACTGTTCACCTGAGCACCACTCTCTAACCTCCTGATCTCCTCCTCATTGCCATGGCGACCACCCTGGAGACAATGCTGCTGCCGCCGGACCAGGAGCCGCGACCTGGGCAGCCGGACGCCTGCCTGGACCCTGAAGGCCGCTACTCGGTGGTCCCCTCGGTGGTCTGCTCCATGTGCTGCCTCTTCGGCATCATCTACTGCTTCTTCGGTGAGTTCCGATGGATTCAACCGGCTGCTGATGGAACTGTAACCTGACCGGATCCTGCCGGTTGGTTACGGTTCATGCGATCTGATCTCTATCTTGGTTCTGACCCTGAACCTGCTGCGTTCCTCCAGGCTACCGCTGCTTCAAGGCGGTGATGTTCCTGACCGGGCTGATGTTTGGCTCCGTGGTCATCTTCATGCTGTGCTACAAGGAGCGCGTCCTGGACACCCAGCTGAGCGTGGAGGCCTCGGTGGGCATCGGGCTGGGCATCGGCACGCTGTGTGGCCTGGTCACCATGCTGGTGCGCAGCGTGGGGCTGTTCATGGTGGGGCTGCTGCTGGGGCTGCTGGTGGGCGTGGCCACGCTGGTGGGCATGGCGGAGCTGTCCCAGGCCCCGTCGCGCTCCGTCTGGGTGCCGCTGGGCGTGCTGCTGGGCCTCGGCATGCTGTTCGCCGTGCTGACACTGCAGTGGCAGCGCCTCTTCACCACGCTGTCCACCGCCGTGTTCGGCGCCGCCGTCATCACCGTGGCCCTGGACTACTTCCTGGAGCTGTTTGCGCTCCTGGTGTACATCTACGAGCGGATCAAGGTGGAGCCGGGGAAGCCGGTGTGCTGGATGACCTGGCTGGTCCTGGGGGTATGGCCGTCCCTCACCCTGCTTGGGGTCATAGTTCAGTGGAAGGTGACCGCCGAAGGATACTCCCACACCAAAGGTGAAGAAACAATCTCCCAACCTGACACTGATGTTGCAGGTCATCACACCCTGATGTTTGTAAAGTTTCTGTCTGTCCCTTGTTCCTCAGTGATCATCAGCCGCCAGCAGCGAAGGATGCAGGTGATGCGGATTCGTCAGCGAGATGACCGCTACCGCAACAAGAAGAAGAAGAAGCAGCAGCATGGCTCCTCTCACAATCACCAGGCCAAGCAGCTCAACGCCGAGCCCGCCTACCGCCGCAAGCCGAACCCCATCCGCCGCTACGACACCGACGTCCTGTCGCCGGTAGCCAGCGTCACACGCCGTCTGTGTCCCAGCGCACAGAGGGTCTCCATGTCTCAGCTGTCTCTGTGTTGTCTTGCAGAGTTACATCCAGAGTTTCCGGGACCGGCAGGTTCAGGCGCAGCCCTTCCCCGGCCGGCTGGTAGGAGGCGCTCACGCTGTGGTGGAGATGGGCTACGACTGCGGCTCCACGGCGCCCCTCACCGGGGCCGCAGGGCCACCTCTACGGGCCTGACCTCTGACCCTTGACCTTCACGGGACTGATCAGGAGGAACTGACTAGAGCCACTACACTCACCACCGGATTGACAGGCAACCTTCTGGTGTTGACCTTTGACCCAGCAGGAGAATCTACCCACCTTTAGACTCTTTACAAAGTCTTGACACATGAGTTAAGCTAACTGTGGCTAATGAGCTAAGCTAGCCACTGGTTTTGTGACATTACATGCATGTAGACACTAAATACCCACACACCACAGCTCCAACCCTGAAGGAACCTACTGACCCGGTTCTGAGCTTTCTGCCTCCATCTTCAGTCAAACATCGACTCCAGTGGTTCCACTGTGAACCCAGCTCAGGTTCTAACGCCAGATCAGTCAAAGATCTGGGTCACCATTAAACTCTGGGTCATCGTCCAACTCTGGGTCATCGTCCAACTCTGGGTCATCGTCCAACTCTATTTGATCGTCCAACTCTATTTGATCGTCCAACTCTAGGTCATCGTCCAACTCTGGATTATTGTCCAACTCTGTGTCATTGTCCAACTCTGGATCATTGTCCAACTTGTCAACCAGTATTGCAGAAGCAACCAGCTCCTCAACTGCTTGGGCTCAAACAAATCCTTGAGCTTCACCAGGAAGGGACAGCTCAACACTAACTGGACGTCTTTTTCTTTCTGTGCCATCCAGACCACAACGACCTTCTGTGGAATGCGAAGAGACGTTTTCTCTGTAATAGAGGGGACACCCTTCGTCTCCCTTGGTGCTGGACAGAACACTGCTGTCCTGTCAAACTGCCTCGCCTCTCCTTGGACTGCCAGGTCAGCCAACCGAAACGCTCAGTGGGACACTTCCCTTCGGTAGCTATGGCAACACCAAGTCAGGTTGTGTTGTTTCCCATAGAGAGAGCTCTGTTTACACTGGCACCTCCCAAACACCTGAAAACTGGTTTCAATGACATTTGGTCTGGGACCACAGCCATTTCAAACAGCTAACGTCCCTCTAAAAACACGTTTAGCTTCTTATTACATCATTCAAACACCAAACTCACCTCAACGGGCGTGCAAGTGGACCGGTGTTAGCAGAAGCTAACGTCTGCAGTCTTCCTCTTCTTCGCTCTCGGTGTTTCAGCTTCTGAACTGGATTTTCTTTGGAATATTTTAGAAAAGAAATCTGTGAATACCGAACCGCTAACGGGCTCCACTGCAGCAGCTAGCATGGCAGCCATTTTGAATTTTGAAGCTACTTACTTTCTAAATTAAAATTGTCAGGTTGAGTTGATTTATGTAAACAAAACTTTATCACAGATGCCAAATTTTATTTAATTGAAAGTTTACAAAACAACCAAGTAAATTTAAACTTTGGAAGCCAAGTGTGCTAAATGTTTTCAAAGTTAGCAAAATGCTGATTTACTACATTAAACATTAGTTCCCTCTGTTAGCCAATTAGTCGATTAGCCCATTAGCGTAGAGGTATCCACCTCTAGCTTCTGCTAATAAGAAGCTAACATAAAGCTAGCGTTAGCCTCTATGGGTTCTGATCCAGACTGAGGTGCCGGTGTAAACGGATGAATCAGACCAGCAGCTGTCTGATTTCTCCATTGTGTTTTTCTTTATTTAGGATGATGTAACATCTGTCTGGTAAAATGTGAAACTTTAACGTGTTTTTAGAGGAGAACTGTGTACAGGAAATGATGCGTTTAGTGTGAGGAGCTGAACTGCATGAGATGAACTGGTTAGCTTCCTGCTGCGATCGGCTCCAACAGGAAACCTGTACAGAAACACTCTGCACTTATTTTAATGTCCAACAGGAATGAAGACATGCTGTATTTATTTATTTGGTGTTTTATTTATTTTGCTCAGCAGTTAACATGATCACATAACGTGATCATGTTTTTAAAGACTCTGATCATATTTAAAGCATGTGTTCCTGCTCTGTTAAAACAATAAAAACATTAAAATAATTTTATTATCGTCAGCATCATAAAATCATCTTTTCTGATTTGTATCTGCTCTTTGGCTCATTAATGTCCTGTAATATTAATGCAGCGATCATTTAAACATCAAAAATTAATCTAAATTTAAACAATTATTTATTTTTACTGGTTGAATTCAATTTCAAAATACTTTACCAAAACAAAAATACAAATGTGAATTCTTTAATCAATTTACATGAATTGTAATGTATTGAATTATTTAAAGTAGAGCAAAACTTTATTGTGATATGTGATCGATTCAAAAAATGACTCACACTTATCCATATTTATCACTTATTTGTAAAATAGAATAATAATTTATAAAGTTTGTTACATGTTAAAAGAATAAATAATTGCTGCAGTTATTTTTCTACATAATTATTTATGGTCATAAATCAGGAGTTTCATTTGTCAGCAAAGTCAGTGGGCGGGACTAACTCTGCTCTGCGCATGGTGATTGGTCCGTGGTTGTGTTGCTGTTCAGGTCAAACAATCAGACGTTGGTGTCAGATTTAGCTATTTCATAAAATATAATGATGTTTTAAAGAATAATTAATAACTACAATAACTGAGTGTCAATTATGGACACTTTTTAAAATGTCTGCATTTTTAATTTTTATACATTTTTTTTAAAAGATCACAGATAAGATCACATATTTTAAGAACTGAATGGATTGTGGCACTTTTGATGCTCCATAGTTGATCATGTTTAGTTGTCAGCTTAACGACTAAATTTTAGTTTAATGAACCGATTTCCATCCATTCTTAAACTAACAGGAGGCATAAACTGACTGATGTTTATGAAATAAAATCAAATTATTGTTTTAAAGTAGTTAGGATGAATTATTATCTGAGCCTAATATCCTTAAAATGCTAGTATCTTCTCCATCAATCATTTCAACTTTTTCCTATAATAATCGTTATTACATATTTGAATCTCATATTAGTAAATAACTTTCTGATTATAATCTGTAATGAAACAGAAGTGCAGAACCGATGTTCCTGTGGCATTTAATTGCTGCAGTTTCTCAGATCATCTGATGGGTTTTTATGGGAATTCACCAAAGCGATAAATGAATCGTTTCACTGCAGGATGAAATCAGCGCAGGCTAATGCTAATGCTAGCGCTGTGTTTAGTTCAGCTTTATTAGATTGAGTTGGTCAGAGCGCTGCGGAGCGTTGTGTCGTCCCTTCTTCCTGCAGATCCTCACATGATGTCCTGCTGGTGCTGCGTCGACTCGCTGACCACCTGGAGACAGAAGCTCAAGTCAGGAGCAGCACCGCTAATGCTAAAGCCAAAGTTAACTCTAAAGCTAAAGGCCGGTTGGGTCCACATGCAGATCCGTTGTGGCGCCACAGCAAACATCCTCCTGCTTTATTTGTTCCAGGATTCAGATTCTAAGAGAAAAACTACGGCAACAGGGAGGGATTTTCTGCATCAGGGTTTAAACTTTTCACGTTTCGTTTAGTTTTCGTTTTTTTCTGCGGTGCTGGTCAGTGTAACCAAGGGAAACTTTAAATCCTGAATCCAGATGAAAAAGTGAGACCAGGAAGGAAAAACGTCATTTAGACATTTAGAGTAGAACTAACAGAAAATCAACCTGACCTGTTTCCAGTGCCGATCGATACAAATGATCAGTTTAAAAGCCGATCAACTCATCAGTCAAAGAGAATCTGACATAAATTCACCTTTAGTTTTAGTTCCTGATGATCCTCCAACCTGAGCACTAAAAAAAAACTAAACATTGATTTAATTTATGTTGATGGTGTTTGCAAAACAAACCGTTTCAGATGTTACCTAGCAACACAAGCCCCGCCCACTTCATCATTATCAGCCTGTGATTGGTCAGCAGTTGGTTATTGCTGACCAACCAACAGAAACCCAACTGTAGATTCTGTGCTAAAATGTAGCCAACATGTTTTGCCACAGAGCATTCTCAACCTGGGAGGTCAGTGTTGATGTGTGTATCGGTGAGTGTGTGTCAGTATGTATTGGTCCAGCGGTGTGTATCGTGTGTATTGGCACTACCTCTCCGTCTCGGGTCTCGATGGTCTTGATCAGAACCGTTTTCTTGGAGAGGGTCTCTGCGGAGCGCTGCGGCGGTTCTGGGTTGGTTTCTGCTCAGACAAACAGGAGAGTCAGAGTCAGGAGAGATGGTGCGTTCAGGGACCGGCGGTGCGTTCAGGGACCATCGGGGCAGTATGTACCTCTGAAGCTCAGGGTGGAGAAGTTCTGCATGGGCAGGGCGATCCTGGAAGAGACAGTGGTTAGAGCCGGGCGGTTCTGGAGGTTCTGGAGGTTCTGTGCGGGTTCTGACCTGCTCTCCTCGCCTTCCAGCAGCTTCCTGTAGGTGGCGATCTCCACGTCCAACGCCATCTTGACGTTCAGCAGGTCCTGGTACTCCCTCAGGTGGCGCGCCATCTCGTCCTTCATGGTGGCGATCTCGGCCTCCAGCCGGGCCACCGTGTCCTGGAAGCCGCCCGCCTCGCGCCCGTGGCGCTCCTCCATGTCCCGCATCTGCCTCAGCAGGGACTCGTTCTGGACCAGAACCAACAGGGTAGAAACACATGGCAAGTTAACCACACAGAACTAGTTAGCCACAGAACCAGTTAGCAACAGAACCATTATCAGAATCGTTGTATCAGAACCATCAGGAGGTTCTGAGGACGCTCCCGGACCTGTGAGGTTCTGGTTCTACCTACCGTCCCTTTAAGGGAGTCGATCTCGCAGGTGTAGGCCTGGATCTGGTGCCTGAACTCCAGCGTCTCCTGGCGGGCCTGCTGCAGCGCCTGGTTGTTCTTACTGACGGCCTGGTTCAGGTCCGAAACCTGCAGGGACAGAACTCCGTCTTCATCTGCTCCATCGGTGCTGCCCTCTAGTGGTCAGATACACATGCAGATAAACAGGAAGCAGCAGGAAGTGGGTGACCTTGGACTTGTACCACTCTTCAGCCTCGGCGATGTTCTTGGCGGCGATGCCCTCATACTGGGCCCGGATGTCCCTCAGCGCCGCCGTCAGGTCCGGCTTGGACATGTCCATCTGGACCTGGACCTGTGTCTCCTGCATCTGGTTCTGCAGCTCCCGGATCTCCTGCAGGGGGAGACAGTGAGTCTGGGGCTTGGACTGGGCAGGTTGGAGGAGGAGGAGGAGGAACAAGAACCTCTTCATGGATCCTCTTGAGGAAGGCGATCTCCTCCTGCAGGGTCTCGATGCGTCTCTCCAGGTCCAGACGGGCCAGAGTGGCAGCGTCCACGTCCTACAGAACAAATCACACATCCTCTGAGCGACACATTTAAATTGGAAGTCAAACAGGAAGTCACACAGGAAGTCAAACAGGAGAAACAGGAGGAACAGAAAGTTAAACTTTAACTTGTGAATAACAGAAAAAAGATGCAAGGAATCCATGCAAGAGAAAACTGTTTCCTTTCTATTCACTTCCTTTCAAATATTCAAGGAAAAAGAAACTTTTCTGTAAAATTAAAATGTTATCTGATAAGTATTTTGGGAGGATTTTATTGTTTCAGGATTACAACGGAATAAAAAAGGATCCCGGATGAGCCCAATGCAGAAATCAAACGAAAATAAAAGCCTCAAAATAACAAAAACATGTTGGCTAAAGAAATGTAAACAACCTAATTCTATCAGTTATAAACCATTTTAAAATAAAATTATTAATAGAAAAGTGTTTTGTTTCTGTGCAATAATAATAAGTAACAATAAAAACAGCAACAGCAGAAAATCAGTTCATTATCAAATCTGATCAAGACTCACAGCTCTGAACGCAGCGAGGCTGTTCTCAGCTTCTTCCCTCTGGAGGATCTCCTCCTGCAGCCTGAACACACACACACACACACACACACACACACACACACACACACACACACACACACACACACACACACACACACACAGAGAGAGAGAGAGAGGGAGAGAGAGAGAGAGAGAGAGAGAGAGTGCTTCATTTGAGTCATGTCACCTTTAGAAACAAAACCAAACTACCTGAAACATTCTCTAAGTCTAGAAATGGAATAAATGTGTTTTATTAAAAATGCTGCAGCTCCTTCTTGCTGCTGCAGCTCCTGTGAATCAGTTTAATCTAAACATTGGACTCAAACTCTGTGTCTCTCTGGCGGCTTTGTTTCGCTGCAGAGTCTTTCTCTCCTTTTATAGAAGAAAACATGATGAACTCTGATCAGATTGAAGCAGCACTAATCTGTAATCTGTAACAGAGTCTAAACTAAAACCTTTTCATTTATAATTTAACAATAAACGTTTAGCCAGGCTAAAACTAAAGCTGCTGGTTCAGCAGGAAAAGTTTCAGTTTTATTTTAGAAACTTTCCTATAAACTCAGTCTGATGTGGGATTAACAAGAATAACATAAATATTAATCAAAAATAATGTGGGGCATCTCCTAGCCAGCTAGCTAATGCTGAAAGCTAATTTACTGAATAGCTTTTTTTTTTGTTTTAACTGAACAGGAAAAAGTCAAAACACATTTAATTTATATTAATTTAATCTAATCTAATCTAATCTAAGATATAATCTCTTAATACCTGTGAATAACTGGTGAATAAATTAAAGTGATTTCCTGCTATCAATTGTTCATAATCTGGAGGTGAAGCTAATGCTAATGCTAATACTACTGTTATTAATAAACATCAGAAGAAATTAATTTTAATTTCATGGGCACATTTAATTACACCTTAAGGTGTTAATAAAATGAAACAATATCACCAAACAAACTGTTTGATGTAATAAGCATCAGTTTAAAGCCTCAGAGAAACAAACTGTCAGTTATTAAGCAGAGATATGAAAACAATAATATTTTAGTCTGATTATTTTCAGCTGCAGGTCTGCTCTCTGCGCCGAGCTGCAGCTCTGCTGATGTCACAAGTTTTATTTTTACTAAAGCTTCTTTTTAAATGATAAATAATTAAACATATAGATGGTAAAATAATCAAAATGCCCGCTCTTGTTAATTAACTTCCAGGTTTAAAGTTTTTCTAACATTATTAATATTGAAATCATATTAAAAGGACATACTTTCATTTATTTATAACCTTTCAAAATATTTTTTTTATCTGTATGTTTTATAAAAATAAAATGAAATTAGATAATCCAGAAACCTTCAGAGCGACGAGACGAGATTAACATTAGTTCAGAATTTATCCTCCCTGACCTCTGACCCCTGATCCTCCCTGACCTCTGACCCCTGGTCCTCCTCCCTGACCTCTGACCCCTGATCCTCTTTCCTGACCCCTGACTCCTGGTCCTACCTCATCTTGACCTTGTCCAGGTCGTCGGCCAGGTTGTCCCTCTCCACCTCCAGCCGGGCTCTGTGATTGGTCAGGACCTCCACCTGCCGTCTCAGCTCGTTCATCTCGTCCTGGTAGAGGTCGGCGATGCGTGGCGTCTCCCGGTCCCGGAGCCGCTGGACCTCCAGAACCAGCGCCTGGTTCTGCGTCTCCAGGAAGCGGACCTTCTCGATGTAGCTGGCGAAGCGGTCGTTCAGGTGCTGCAGCTCCGCCTTCTCGTTGGTCCGTGTGGCGAGGAACTCCTGGTTCAGGGCGTCCGCTAGGCTGAAGTCCAGCGTCTCCCCCAGGCCGCCGTAGCGCCCCGCCGACACCCGGGTGGCCCCCAGGGGCCCCGCGGTCCCCAGGGACCCAGTGGACAGGCGGTAGGTCGGCGCGGCGGTGCTGCGGGTCACCTCATACACCCTGGAGGTCACGTGGGCCCCTCCGGCGGCGGCGGGGCCCAGGAAGGAGCGGTTGAGGGACGGCGAGGCGTAGGAGCCATGGCCGAAGGTGCGGCGGTAGGAGGAGGCGGAGCGGGCGGAGGAGGAGAAGGAGGCCATGATGGAGGTGCTGCAGCTGGAGGTCTGAGACGGACGAACCGCCCTGGGGTATTTCTACTTACCCCTCTGCCCCGCCTCCAGCCTCCTGATGACATCAGCTCTTCATCGCCTCTCCTCTTCCTCACATTCAGGCCAAACTGGAGGCCCAGGGGCCGAACTGGAGGCCCGGGGGCCAAATCGGCCCGCCGCAGCTCCTCCTGTGGTCCGAAAGACTCCAGAGGGAAACATGAACCAGATGATATGAGGCACATCACAGCAGCTTTTATTCATTTAACCATTAAACCACCAAACTACTTGTCACTTCCTACAGAAATTCTCCCATTTTTTCACATTAAAGCAGAATCTCAGGTTTATTTTCCATCTTCATGCTTCAGATTAATGGCTGATCAGATACTGAATAGTTTCTGTTTAATGATCAATAAATTGTTGAAGGAAGCTAACAGGGTTAGCGCTCTCTGAGTCTCTCTGGTGGTTTCCAGCCGTCCTGAGTGTCTCCAGTCCTCCCTGTCGTCAGGACATACCAATGTGAGGATGCGTTGCCTCTCGCCCTGCGCTGCCTTATAAAGGTAAAGCCTGGCGCCGCTGCAGGGAACTCTGGGAGTTTTACTCTGTTCGCTCAGACAGAACATGGAGCAACGTGACCATAAAACATGTTTAAATGGCAAAGTTTATCGTTTCAGATCAAAACTAAACAGGTTTTTATTAAAGCTAAAAACATGGAAAAACATTTTCCTTCCATACAACAGAAACAATGTGGATCTAAAGAATTAACAATAATAATAACGATGATGATGATAATTCTTACAGGGTTTTTGGATTTTAACCACCAAACATCACTTGAAAGTATTTCCAGTGAAATACGATCATATTAACAAAATGTATTTATTTTAAACTCCATTTTGTTTCTGGGTTTGAAGGTTTGATCCAGTTTGATCCAGAACCTGTCAGATCTACAAGAGAAGGAAAAATAAAATCTAAGACCTGATAACCTGCAGCAGCAGCTCCTATGTTTCCAGTTCATCTCACATTTTTAGTTCTGAGTTTAAATAAATCAAACGATAAAACTGATTAACTGAGTCGTTATGATTCATTTGTCCAGAAATCGTTTGGAGGCAGGTCATAGGTCACCACCTCACAGTTTATTTCACCTTTTCAAACTCCAGCTGGATTCAGAGGAACTGTTCAGAGTCCAGATACATTTTTAACCTCAATTTTGTTCTTTAAAATCTGCTTTGTGTTTTATTTTGCTCCAACATGTTGATCTGATCTGATCTAATCTGATCGGGTTCAACGCTCCATCCTGCTGCTCTCACATCTATTAATAGAGTCTGTGTGTGTGTGTGTGTGTGCGTGTGTGTGTGCATGCATGCGTGTGTGTGTGTGTGTGTGTGTGTGTGTGTGTGTGTGTATTCATCCCTCTGGTTTTCTTCAGAGCTGCAGAGAAGATGCGAACTGACAGCTGAGGTAAACATCACCTCCTCGCCGCCTGAGCCTTCCTCATCCTCCACCTCCTCCTCCTCCTCATCTTCCTCCTCCTCCTCTTCCTGCCCATATAAGGCAGCTTCCTGTGATGATGAAGTGAGAACCATCTGAGGATAAACAGAAATGTTCAAAGCAGGAGGATTACTGGGGTTTGTGGTCATTTTCTCTTAAATAATGAGCAAACTTTCAAGATGAAGGTTTTGATTTGACATTTTAAAATCTTTTTCTTTCATTTGTTTGCTTGATTTTGATCCATTTAATGGTGCACTTCCTGATGTGTCCACCGCACTGGGGAAAAGATTTCAACTTGCCCCCAAAATACTCTGATCACATTTAATTCATGATTCAGCATGGAGGAAAATTAAATGTTTCATATGCGGCTCGGTTTGCTTGAACAGATTATTCTATTAATAAATTATATAATAAACTTTTTAACTAACCTTTTTGTTTAATTTAGTTGTCTTTGTTTTGAAATTTTAATTTCGTTTATGATCTAAAACATTAAGTGTGATTAAAAAATAAAAACATCAGAAATCTGTTTTTGTCTCCTGATAAAGTGCCATGTCACCTCCTGGCCGCTGGGTGGCGCTGACGGTCTGTGGTTGCAAACGTCGTTTACGTCTTTCCTCTGTCCCTGCGGTGGAGTTTAGACTTTGAAAGTGTAATTCATGCTGGTAAGCGTTATAAAAATGATTACCTAACGTGTGGGTTATGTGGGAGGTGTTATTTCATCGCTGAAAGTCGAGTTGACTGGTCGGCAGAACAAGAAAAGCAGGAAAGTCGGAGAGCGTAGCTTTGTTTTTCAGCTCAGCTAACCGGTGATTCCTTTATCGGACGCACGCCACTTTTCCTTTTATCTTAAACCTCAAATTTATTTTTATTAGCATTTTAATCCACTTTATATTTACTGGTTGTGTCCTGCAGATGGAAGTTTGTATATTTTACCCCTAAAAAGTAAGTTTTGCAAGCTGTTTCATCTCCCCGGAGTTGAGGCTCGTGACTCGGATCTGATAACCCTTCGCAGCTTTGATTTTTACTTTTATTGCTCTTTATTGGGTGTTTTTCAGACTTTAATCATGAAGAAAGAAGCAGTGCAGGCAGCAGCCAAGGAGTTTCTGCAGTTTGTCAACAGAGGAGTCTCTCCGTATCATGGTAAGGTCTGGCGAAACTGCGATGATTAGCATTTGGAATAATCCGAGAAGCGTCACACTGAACCCCATTTAGAGATGTCTGCATTTAAACACTTCTTAATTCTCAGCGCCGTTTTAAAATCAATAATTATTGTCATTGTCACTTTCCTTACTCGTTATAGCTGCTTTTTGAACTTTTTAGAGTAATTAATTCACAAGAAGCTGCCAGACTCTGCTAATGGATTATCAGCTCAAAATCTAAAATAATACCTGAACTTTGACCTCAAATCCAGAGGAGTTGAACATGAGACTTTGGATGCAGAGAAGTTTTATCCAAACCTGTTCTCCAATGTCTCTATAATCGTACGACTAGGGAGACAGGTTAGTGTGTTATAATCATCATAAGACCATCATACAGCTGCAGTCTTCAGTCAGAAGCCTCTGCAGATGAGTTGGAACGCTGAGTGCTACTGGAGAGCCAACCGGCCCACAGCATCACCATCTGCAGAGACGTTTAGCTTCCCTTTGAGGGAAATGCAGATTTATTTAACTGCATACGATGATGATGGTGATGATGTTTGTTAAATCGGTTGTCATGGTTTCTGAACATCAATCTCCAGTTGATGTCAGTCCAGAACATTTTTTAACAGTTTTGCTCCACCTCCACATGGAAACGGCGTTTGAGGAGACTGAAACATTTATTTATTAAAACAAGTTTCTCTCATATCCATGGCGACAGCAGTAACCTGACCTTTAACCCCAAACAACAGCAACAGCAGACTGGAGGTTCTGGTTCCGGCTGGAGCAGAGCCGCAGCCATAGAGGCTAATGCTAACTGCTAGTCAGAGTCGGCCCAATATTAATAGAGCGCTGCCATCTTAAAGTGGTTCTAATTTCAGAACCGTTTACAGCTGACTCCACGTGTGGCGCCTTCTGCAGGTCTGGGGGAATAACTGCAGCGTTTTGGACTGATATAGAAAAACATTTCTAGATTCTGTTTCTAAAGGAGAAGAACCCGTTTCATACCAAAGTCCTGTTGGGCTTTAGTTCCAGCTGACGGGTTTCTGAGAGTTATTAGAGTTCTCTAACGTAAACATTAGGGCTATAAATATAAATGTTTGCTTCTTTTTAATCCAACTTGTTCTGGTTCTGGTTCTGGTCCGGTCTGATTCTGCTCTGACCTGGCTCCACATTCTGGTAGCTGTACCAGCGGTTCTGTTGAGCCAACAGGAAGCCAACCCGGTTCTGGTCGCCGTGACTTTGAGCTCAAGATAAGATAACGAACGGGCTGCACAGTGGTGCAGTTGGTAGAGCTGTTGCCTTTCTGCTTTGCTTGTTCGATTCCCAGCCTGGGGTCTTTCTGCATGGAGTTTGCATGTTCTCCCTGTGCATGGTGGGTTCTCTCCGGGTACTCCGGCTTCCTCCCACAGTACAAAAACATGACTGTCAGGTTAATTGGCCTCTCTAAATTTTCCCTAGGTGTCAGTGTGTGTGTGCATGGTTGTTTGTCCTGTCTGTCTCTGTGTTGCCCTGCGACAGACTGTCAACCCGTCCAGGGTGACCCCGCCTCTCGCCCAGAACGTTAGCTGGAGACAGACACCAGCACCTCCCGACCCCAATAGGGACAAGGGTGTACAGAAAATGGATGGATGGATGGATGGATAAGATAACGATGGAACAGATGGGCCCCAGTGTTTCCTCTCTCTGTTCACCATATATATCGCCATAGCAACAGCTGCTTCTTCTTCTGTGGTTCCTGCAGTGGTGGAGGAGTGCAGGCGGCGCCTCCTGGAGGCCGGCTTCACCGAGCTGAAGGAGACGGAGCAGTGGGACATCAAGCCAGCCAGCAAGGTGGGTCGAGGTCAAAGGTCAGAGGGAGCTAGCAGGTGGAAGCTAACCAGAATCTCCTCTGCAGTATTTTGTGACGAGGAATTTCTCCAGCCTGATCGCTTTCGCCGTGGGAGGAAAGTACCTTCCAGGAAATGGCTTCTCCATGATCGGAGCGCACACCGACAGCCCCTGCCTCAGGGTACGACATCCAACCCCGCCCAGCCAATCAGCTCCACCAGGTGCTACAGCTGCTTCTGTTGCAGGTGAAACCACGCTCCAAGAGGACGAAGCAGGGCGTGCTGCAGGTGGGCGTGGAGTGCTACGGCGGCGGCATCTGGAACACCTGGTTCGATCGAGACCTGACTGTGGCCGGCCGCGTCATGGTGAAGGTAGTTCAGCCTGAGAGCAGCAGGGGGTGCCAGAGCTCCGGTCTGCTGTACTGTGAATGTCTGACAGTAGAAATGTTCTTTATAAAAACAATTATAAAAAAAAACAAACAATAAATGGAAATGAGATTTTCTGTTATTTAAATAAAATAATCATGAGTAAGCAAAAAATGAATAAGAAACTATATTTTCTTCATCCATCCATCCATTTTCTTATACCCTTGTCCCCTAGCGGGGTCAGGAGGGTTGCTGGTGCCTCTCCAGCTAACGGTCCGGTCAAGAGGTGGGGTCACCTGGACAGGTCGCCAGTCTGTCAACTGGCAGAAAGCTATATTTTCTGTTATTATGAAAACAATAACTAAAAATATTTTATCTTAATAATAATAAAGTAACTTCAAAGAAAATAAAGTAATTATTAAAATAAAGTATTTTTAATAAAAAAATAATTAAAAACTATTTTCTTTTATTAAAATAAAAATATTTTCATCATCCTGTTTTTTTCTCTTAATGTTGCAGGAATGAAAAAATAAAGTAAAACTTTAGTTTTTTCCTGCAGAGTGAAGATGATGAGTGTTTACCTTCCATGCTGAATCGCTCTTCCTCCTCCTCTTCCTCTGCAGAGCGAGGGGCAACTGGTCCAGCGGCTGATCCACGTGCCCCGCCCTCTGCTCCGGGTGCCTCACCTGGCCATCCACCTGCAGCGCGATGTGAACGACTCCTTCGGCCCCAACAAGGAAAACCACCTGTGAGCACCAGGGACACATCTACATGCAGCACTGAGGCCAGAACATGGAGGTGTCTGTGATTTCCCAGCTGCAGTGAACGCACCGTGTTTGTTTCAGGGTTCCCATCCTCGGCACGGCGGTCCAAGAGGAGCTGGAGACCGGGTCATCTTCGTCTGGAGACACTTCCTCTGCCGCCAACACGGTGAAGCCCGTTCCTTCACGACGCCTGGCACGGTTCTGGTTCTGATCCTGGTTCTGATCCTGGTTCTGTTTGTGTCCAGGCTGACAAGCACCACCCCGCCCTGGTCAGGGTTCTGTGTTCGGAGCTGGGCGTTCAGCCAGACTCTCTGCTGGACTTCGAGCTCTGTCTGGTCGACACGCAGCCGGCGGTGAGTCTGCACTTCCTGTCGGTTACCATGGAGATCAAACATTCACAACCCACCATGTTGGCGCCATCAGAAACGGGCCGGCGGCTTCTGTTTCATATTTGAAATGTTTTGAGTAAAACAGCCAAACTAAATGTCACTGTGAGCAAGACGGCCTTTGATTAGGCCGTTGAAGGTTCAGCTGAATGAAAGCAATGGCTAAGCTACATATTGAGTAGCTGTGCTAGCAGCTATGCTACATTCTGCTACATGACTAAAGCAGCAGGAATGTATCTCGGTTGTCTGCAGGAACAAAGTATATTATTATTACTATTATTACTATTATTATTATTGCTATTACTACTAGTATTATTATTCTTAGTCGTTTTGTTTAATATATTTTTGCTCTGCAGCTGAATTAGAGCAGAATTTAAATGAAAGTCATTTTCTGCCGTATTGTGGCGCCCGCGGCCTCGTGGCACCCATGTTGTGTATGCTTTGGGCCGGCCCGTCCTGGTCGGGTGAACCAGCAGGTTCTGACCTCCATGTTTCCCTGCAGGCTCTAGGAGGAGTCTACGAGGAGTTCATCTTCTCTCCCCGTCTGGACAACCTGCACAGCTGCTACTGCGCCCTGCAGGTCAGAACCAGTACTGCAGCTGCAGCTCCTCCTCCTGCAGAGGGTTTCTTCCATCTGCTCCATCTTCCAGGGCCTGCTGGAGTCCTGCGGCGCTGACTCTCTAACCTCTGACCCCAACATCAGGATGATCACTCTGTTCGACAACGAGGAGGTGAGTTCACCCGACCTCTGACCTCTGACCCGGCCCCTGTCCCCTCGGTGACCTCTGCTTCTGCTGCAGGTGGGGTCAGAGAGCGCCCAAGGAGCGCAATCCAACCTGACAGAGCTGATCCTCAGCCGACTGGCCGCCTCCGCCAGCAACCCCAGCGCCTTCCAGCAGGCGGCGCCGCGCTCCTTCATGATCAGTGCCGACATGGCGCACGCTGTTCACCCCAACTACACGTCAGTCTGCTCATGAATCATTCAACGGCAACGGCTGGATCCGCTCTGCTCAGACCAGGCTTTCAGGCAGCATCCTGCTGGCGGAGGCAGCATCATGCTGCGGGCTGCTGGATCCAGTCTTTGTTGTTAGCTAGGTAAATGTGGACCAACCAGCTGCTAACCTGGAGCTGTGCTTGTTTCCTCAGGGAGAAGCATGAAGAGAACCACCGGCCAGCTTTCCATAAGGTCAGTCTGCCTCCTGATTGGCCGTCTCACCATCCAATTGGAGCAGCTTTTACTGAAGCACTCTCTGCTTTCAGGGCCCCGTCATCAAGTTCAACAGCAACCAGCGCTACGCCACCACCGCCGTCACCGCCTGCGTGGTCCGGGAGGTGGCGAGCCGCGTCGGCGTGCCACTGCAGGTAGGCCCACTTCCTGTTAGCCGCACCCCCTTCCTGTTAGCCGCACCCACTTCCTGTTAGCCTCAAACCTGATGAATCTCAGGTCACATCTATATCAGATCTACATCAGTTTGTCTGAACATCCTGAAACATCTGAGCCAGTATGGAGCTAGCTGGAGCTAACAGTCATGCTAACATGCTAACACTCATAGCTCTGTGTCTGCACTGAATTCACTTCATTAACACTTTCTACAGGCGTCCAGAATGGTCTAAATAAAGTAAAGTAGACATAGAAGCAAAGATAGTACTGACTGAAACGGTAAACTAAATCATTCAGCCAACTTCCGCCTGCAGTTCACTGTAAAGACCACTAGAGGACAAACTAACCCATGTTAAATCTCTGGAGTCCTTTCAGAATAAGACTTCCTGTCTGTGTGGCCCCTGCAGGATGTGATGGTGCGTAACGACAGCCCCTGTGGGACCACCATCGGCCCCATCCTGGCGGCGCGGCTTGGCGTTCCCGTGGTCGACATTGGAGCGCCGCAGCTGGCCATGCACTCCATCCGGGAGATGTGCTGCACCTCCAGCGTGCTGCAGAGCACCGCCCTGTTCAAGGTAATGCCAACCTGTACAAGGTGACCAGTCTCTGGGTTAAGCAGCTGAAAGCTCAGCAGCCATTTTGACTTGATGGTGTTGCCATAGTAACTCTGTAAATAACCTTTATTAAACATGTCTAATCTCCCAAACAAACCCGCTCCAGACTCAGAGATGTTTCCATGCCTCTCATGGCTGCAGGAGCATTTCACAGTTTTCACACGTGACTGTGTTTTGTCTTCTGGATGTTTTCCTGCCACTGACTGCCTGGTAGTCAGAGGATGAAGGAGTTTCAGACTCGGAGCAGCTGGTTTAGCTGAACCGCTGATGATCACATGACCTGCAGTCAGCCTGTGTTTGTGTTAAACAACCAGCCGTCGTCTGGGAAACAGACGTAAACAACCATGGCCTCCCATTTACTGCTCATCTCTCGGCAGATGGAGATCCTCACTCAGCTCTGAGTCACTGAGTGTCCTGATGGGGGTTCATCTCCACTTCTTGTGGCTTTTATATCCATTCCCTGTTGTTTACCTTCACTTCCTGTTGTTTTACCTCAATTTCCTGTGGTTTTTCTGTAGTTTACCTCCAATTCCTGTGGTTTGACCTCCACTTCCTGTCTGCTTGGTCCCCAGGGTTTCTTTGAGCTGTTTCCGTCCATCAGGAACTCGCTGGTCGTCGACTGAGGACAGGACGACCTCGTCTCTCTACTTCCTGTTGATGACAGGAAGTCACTGTGATTTTATCAGAAAGATTTTATTAATCAGCTTCAGAAATAAAGTTGATCAATCTGGATCAGAGTCTGGTTTGTTTTTATTTTAGTTGAGTCTGTTCCTTCCTCCTTAGCAGCTGGAGGTTGAGGTGACGCTGCAGCCAGTGTAGAGGAATATAATTATATTAATAGTTAAAAATTATATTGTGACCAGTTTGCACTAAGACATGTTTTAACCTAAAAGAAATGTACTGTGTCAAATGGCCTGGGTCAATCTGACCTGGAAGTCAGGAAGGAATTCGGATTTGGAGAGATGTGGAGTAACAGAGGAAAGATGTTAGTTTGAGCTGTTTTGCAAGAAAGTTCTGGCACCCGTCTTTTCTCTTGATCGCCTACGAAGGAACAGGGCTGGACCCAAGACTTGGGGAAGATTCTCTGTTTGGACAGATAAGGAACAACCAACTTGACTAATAGTTCTTCTGATGGAGCAGATTTGATTCCAGGTCAACCCCTAGTTCTTGGAACTTCCAAACACACGTCCAGTGTGAACGGAGCCAGAATTGCTGCGCAATGAAGTCCGGTAACGCTATTGGTCAAAGCTTCCCAATACACAGAGCTGGAACTGTATAAAAAACTGATGTCAGAAATTGAAGGAGAGAGATTTTGGATTTCTGAAACGATGTAAATGTGATGTTCTGGTTCCACAGATGTGCATTAAAATCTCTCTCGTTTGGTCCATGAGCAAATGAAGGACCAGAGTCTTGTGTGTCTTTTCTTATTAATACATTCCTTAAATTAGCCACCTTTAAATTCCTTTATACCAGTGGGCTGCTGCAGCCAGTGGTCTGCTGGCTCAGAGACATGCAGCAGGCTGCCAAGACTGCAGCATTGGGTGGGGTAGGGAGGGACAGAGACCTGCAGCTTCTGCAATAATCCACTTTATCCTGGAAACTGAATGTCCATTCACAGCTCCCATAGTTACCAGTGACAGCTGGTTATGTTCAGATATTTTCCCAGTTAGATTTTAAATCAATATTTGCAAACCATCACAGGATCCCACAGCATGACGCTGCCACCACCGTGTTTTCAGTTATGATGTTTAGTTTTAGCAGACGCTCCGAAAGGGATTCAGATGATTTCAATTTGTTCTGAAGTTTTTACTGTGAGGTTGAAGGGAGGATCAGCTGTGTGTGTGCGTGCCTGTTATGAACCTGCTGGCGGATCAAGTATCAATGCATCATCACTGAAATGAAGGATGTAAATATAAACCTGAGTGTTAAATTGGTCATATTATCATTTTCTGCCTTATTGATACTAAAATCATTTCTTTTATAAATCAATCTTTCTTTAGCTGTAGCTGTTGCGCCCCCTGCTGGCTGTTCTTCCTCCTCCTCCTCTTCCTCAGACATGTGGAGCAGCTAAGCGCAGCAGCTTCCTCCTGCCGGATCTACCGGGTCTACCGGAGCTGCCATGATGTCTTCGCGGCTCTGCGCCGCCCTCTGCCTCCTCCTCACCGCCTCCTGCCGCCTCTGCTCGGCCGCCCGACACGGTAAGACCCGGCCCGGCGCCGGTTCGGTCCGTGATGTGGATGACTGGCCGCCTGGAGAGAGTTGGACTAATGAAACGTGACACTTTGTTTCTCTGGAAGTTGTTTGTTTTTATTCCGGATGAAACTGGATTAATGTCAGTCGGAACCAGAACTGGACCCGGCATGAAGCCCAGTCTGCTGTGGCGCCATCACTGACCAGCATCTGAATCTGTTTATGAAGATCCGAAGGGAAGCAGAAACTCAGAGAGTTGGACGGATTGAAGAACAGAAACTGCTCCCAGAAAACATTATTATTATTATTATTATTATTATTATTATTATTATTATTAATGGAAACCATCTCTGACTGACTGAATGGGTCATTTCTATAAAACCAGAGGGATTTCCCGGAGCTACTGGAAACTGAAGCCAGATCTGAACCGGTCCCAGTTTCTGGTCCCAGTTTCTGATTCCAGGAAATCCTCATCTTCCCGCAGCTTCAGATCCCGCAGCAGCTTTGAAATGCGTGTTTGTGTTGCGGGTTGGTGAAACATACGTCACACAGTTATGAGTCATAGCTGATGATGTTTCAGCACCATGGACAGCGTCAGGCCTGACCCGGTGATTGGTTATTGATTAATGATTCTGACCTTCAGCTCCTGTTAAACATGAGAAAACATCTCTAGTTATTCTCCATAAAATGACATGTGGAGCTGAAGCGACAAGTTGGCGTTCATATTAATGATCATGAGGAATAAACTGAGATTCTAAATACTAGTCAGAGTGAACCATCCCAACATACCATCTTTAGTTTACAATCAGACACATTTCCGGTTATATTTTCATATCAGTGTCTCCACCGTGTTTTAGATTGTTTCTCATTTCTTCATTAATCAATCACAGATTAACTGATTATGTGTTAATGTTTATTAATCAATACTTTTAGACAGGTTAATGGTTAGGTTCAGCCAAATTCAGAGCTGTTAATTTACTAAATTAAATGAAATAAACTATCTGGGTTTGATTATAAACACATTGTTTATAAAAGCACAGTGTTTTCTCTTCAGGTTATCCAACTCATTTCCTTGTGACTACATTGACTGACGGAGCGTTTAATGAACTGCAGATTTAAATCAGAACAAACAGCAGGAAGAACAGCTCTGCCTTCATGTTGAGCCGCTCACAGGAAGTTGCAGTTTTCTGCTCTGATCTTTTATTTTGATGTATTTCTGTTTATTTTCAGTTTATTTGTCTCTAACTGATGAAGGACCTGCAGGTAAAACGTCCATGTGTCTGACCTGAACGTCCTTCCTCTCATTCTGGGATAAATATTCAGATTTATTCTGGTTTTAAGGCAGCTACTATTTGTTTCAGGATAAGTGTCCAGCGAGGCGGGAGTTGCCATAGCAACCACCGACTCAGCACTTGTTAGTGTCAGGTTGTTCCTGTTTATATGATGCAGCCATCATAACTTTATGGTTTTAAAACCTGAGAGCAGAAACAGGAAGATCTGGACTTTCAGAATAAATGTCACTGACAGCACGTTAAAGCTGATCAGTCCCTCCGGACTTCGTCAGGCTCGATTAGTCGATAACAGAACGCTGATTGAGTCCAACTGGAGCTGCTGGAAACGGACGTTGCCATGGCGACCAGCTGTCTCGCTTTGGGGAGATTCCCAGAAGGAAGCAGACAGCGGGTTGCCACGGAGACTGGAGGCATTTCCGCTCTGATTCCAATTGAAAAACATTTAGATGATGTCATCACTGTGACATCATACATCAGCAGGTCGTGGTGAAATGTGGCCTCACCTGGTTTCCATGGTGATATTTATGAGAGGAAAATGAAACCCAAACTTTGATTTAAACTTTGATTTAAATGTTTTTCTGATTTTTGTAGGTTGTTTGTTTGAGAAGAAGATCTGTCCCAGAGGTCAGCTCTGCAGCGATGGTGAGTTTAAATTAATATCAATAAATACTGAAATATAACAGATTAAATCCAGACCAATCCGAAGCAGATTATAGGAAGATATTGATTTCTTCAGAAGGGGAAAGACAGGAGAACATTCCAGAGAGAAATCCTAATCCTGATCTAACATCATTTACTGCATTTAGAAAACCCAAATGTTAATTCATGAACATTTAGTCAGCAAGAAAAACAAAAAAAAAAACACAGAGAAAACTTTTCCTGACTGGAAGAAAGACGACAATTTAATATGTATTGTATTGTTTTCAGGTTTTAGCTCTTCTCTGTAGGAAGCTAGTAGCTAATGAAGCTAAGGAAGCTAAAGAAGCTAGTTTCTAAAAAAGCTAGTAGCTAACAAAGCTAGAAGCTAATGAAGCTAGTAGCTTATGAAGCTAGAAGCTAATGAAGCTAAGGAAGCTAGTTGCTAATGAATCTAGAAGCTAACAAAGCTAGTAGCTAATGAACCTAATGAAGCTAGTAGCTAATGAAGCTAAAGAAGCTAGTTTCTAATAAAGCTAGTAGCTAGCAAAGCTACAAGCTAATGAAGCTAGTTGCTTATGAAGCTAGAAGCTAAGGAAGCTAATGAAGCTAGTTTCTAATGAAGTTAGTAGTTAAGGAAGCCAAAGAAGCTAGTTGCTAGTGAATCTAAAAGCTAACAAAGCTAGAAGCTAATGAAGCTAGTAGCTAATGAAGCTAAAAGCTAATGAAGCTAGTAGCTAACGAAGCTAATGTTTAACAAAGCAGAGCATATGACTGAAGCCTCAGCAGAGTAAACTAGGTCTCAGCCAGTCGCTGTTGTGCCTGTCCATCTCCATGACAACAGTGACATCAGCAGCCGGAGTCTCCTTCATGTTGGTGGTGGTGAGTCAGCTAGTCAGCTCAGCCTGCAGCAGACCTGACTCTGCTGTTGCTATGGTTACAAAGCTAATGATCAGTGCAAATGGGTTCATGCTAAAAGTAAACCTGTGTCTGAGTGTCAGCATGTAACCATGGCGACAGTTTGAGATGCTGGTGAATCATTTACAGTTTCTGCAGCGATTAGCTGACCCAGTCAAACCAGTTCAGCACCAAACAGAGAGCATGGAGGTGGCAGCATCATGCTGGGGGCTTCCTCTGGGTTGTCCTTCAGAACCAGGCTGACCTTGTGTGTCGTCCCGTCCAGACGGCCTGTTCGGCCAGTGCCGCTCTCCAGACCAGAAGCCGGTCCGGTACCGAGTCTCCGGCCCGGTTCTGCTGCGGCTGCAGGAAATCCTGAAGGGCCTGATGGTTCAGGGTGAGTCTGACTGTAGGCCCCATCCACTGCGGCAGAGCATATGTTTGAAGCCTCAGCATAGTAAACAAGGTCTCAGCAAGTTACACTGTGTCATGTGACCTCCAGGTCTGACCTGGAATGACGAGCTGACCCAGTCCATCATCAGCCGGGAGCTGAGCCGGGTTCCTACCACCGACCCAGATCTGGACCCAGACATGGACCCGGAGGAGAACCCTCCCAAACCGTAAGGAGAACCCGTTAATGAGTCTAATAACAAGTCAGAACCGTTAAGAGACCCGTTAACGAGTCGACCCAGTTCCGTTTGGTTCCCCAGGTCCTCCAGGCTGCTGGGCCCGGCCCCTCAGACAGAACTGGACCCTGGAGGTCCAGCAGAACCCGAGCTGATGCAGCAGTACCTGGACTACCTGGTTTTGGACCCATACCATCAGGTAAGAGCAGGCTCGCCTCGCCCCCCGGTGGCGGTAGCAGGAACTGACCCACTGTCTGTGCTGCAGAACCAGAACCAGGAGCAGCGCTCCCTCAAGTCCCTGGACCAGAACCCGACCTTCCAGCGGGGCGACGCTCTGGACCGGGACCGGCTGCTGCTGCAGGACCTGCTGTCCCTCTACCTGTCCTCCTCGCCGGCACTGCCTCGTCACCGGGGGGCGCCGGCCGCCAGCTCCTCCCTGCTGCCTGACCTGGACATCCCTCTGGACTACAACCAGGACTACAACTCCCAGGATCCTCAGCTCAAGAAGCAGGAGCTGGATATCCTGTCAGGACTGGACGGTCTGCTGATAGACTGGCTCTCACACCAGTCTGGAGTTTATCTGGAGTTTTTAATATTTCTGTAGTTCAGTCTGGAGTTCTACCCATAGTTTTCCTGTAGCTTATCAGTATTTTCTTTTATCAGTCTGTAGTTTATCAGTCTGTAGTTTCCTGTAGTTTCCTATCTCTGTGTCTCCAGGGCGCTCCCTGCGCAGACTGTCTCTGCTGCTGGACGGTTTGGACCCGTCTGCAGTGTGGCAGGACCAGCGGTTGGACTCGTCCTCTGTCCCCCAGCAGAGCGCAGGTCAGTGAGCAGCCTGCAGTCAGAGGCCAGGAGTCAGGGGTAAAAGGTCAGTAATGTCTGTTGTCTTCCAGCAGATCGCCTGGGAGACGGCGCAGCAGCCAAGCAGAAGGTGAGTCCTGCTTGTCCAATCAGAACCGGGTCTGGGCTCATTTAGCTTTAGTTACTGTGTCGGTGCAGAATGGCACGGAGACTGGCCTCAGAGAGGGCATCACCATGGCAACCAGTGTAAGGTGATACGTCTCTCTCCACCAATCAGCTCACAGAGGCCTTAATGGCATATAAAGCGGCTCTCCAGGAGGCTCCGCCCCCAACCGCCAGGCCACCTGGAGGACAGAAGGAGCCAGCCAATCAGGACGCAGGAGGCGTAGCTAAGCTGTCCGGACACACCAATCAGAGGTACGGCAGCTTCTACTTCCTGTCGCATCAGCCAATCACATGTCAGAGTGTGTTCGTCATGACAACCAGAGCGTTCTTCCTCTGGACGCCCCATCTGCCCTGCCGCCCTGGGCAAAAACAGTCCTAATAATAATAATAACAGATCAATATGATGATGATCTGAGGATTCTGACCCAGTTCTCCTCTGCAGCGCGGTCAAACCGGCCGTCACCTTCAGAACCAGACCCAACTCCAGGAACCTGACGGTTGCACACCAACCAGGTGAGCGGAGGCGGGGCTTACAGGCAAGCAGTGGGGCTTAAAGACAGGAGGCGGGGCTTACTGTCAGAAAAGAGGTGGGACTTCGAGTCAGAAAAGAGGCGGGGCTTAGAGACAGGAGGCAGATCCTCCATCTGAGCCGTTCAGCCAATTGGTGCCGTTCTTCCTGTTGACACCTGGATGATGTCTTCAGTTGCAGGGCAGAACTTTCTGGAGCCTGAGACCGGTCTAAAGGTTCTCCAGAGTGTCACCGAACAGGTGAGACCTGAAACCTGGTTCTGTTATGGTTCTGATGATGAGCGCTGAGGATTCTGGGTTTGTGCAGACGGAAGAGGGGAAGTCATCATTGCCCCTGGCGACCAGAGTCCAGCCCGGCTCCCGCTGGGTGTTTGCCACGCTGGTGTCCATGGCGTGCATCGGCGGCATCCTGGTGGCGGCCATGACCATCGCCTGCCTGCGGCGCCACGCCCACCGCCTGGCTGCCAAGAAGCTTGGCCTGGGCCCGGACGGCGGCGGCTTCACCCACCAGGAATACCAGGTGAGGCTCTGCCCACCTGTAGGTGATGGTGAATCCATTACCTGGAGAAACAGAGGAGAGAATGTGGTGCTGAGGGATCCTGGGAGAACCAGCTGGATCCAGAAGGGAAAGATTCATATCAGGAAGTTTGGAGTTCCTGTGTTTTTAGTGATTAATCGATTACTGAATTAGATGATAAGTTGATTAATCGGTGATTATTGGTCATTATTGCTCCAGATGTATTGGTAAATGTATCATTCTAACATGCTAACGTTGTCACCAGGATCTGTGTCGGCAGCACATGGCCTCCAAAGGCGCCTTTGGCCGGCTGGAGGCCGCCGCCCTAGGCGCGGTGGGCGGGGCCGGCGGCGCGGCGGGGGCCGCGGCCGGCGCGGTGGGCGGGGCCGGTGTGGCGGGCGGAGTCGGGCCAGACTCCAGGGTGAGCAGCGTGTCGTCCCAGTTCAGCGACGGCGCCCAGCCCAGTCCCAGCTCCCACAGCAGCACGCCGTCCTGGTGCGAGGAGCCGGCGCAGGCCAACATGGACATCTCAACGGGTCACATGATCCTGGTCAGGACCGCACAACACCACACTGTGTTCTAGTCAAATCACAGCAGACTGGGTCAAAAGGTCAAACACAAACATAACGTTCAACGGGAGGACATGCAGCAGCTTTGGGTCAGACTCCGCCCCCTTCCTCTCTGCTGTGCTGCAGCTCCGCCTTTAGGCTCCGCCCACATCCGGCTACAATAGATGAAGGTTTGCTAACTGGAGCTGTGGGTGTCATGGTGACGTCACTGCCAGTGAATAACATGGAATATTCAGCCATATTCATATCCCAGGTTTGAGCTACATATCTTTACAGAATGGCATATTATTTAATCTGCCTGAATCTATAATAATAAAACTGGGATTATGGAGGAATTAACAGATTGGCTTTGAACAAAAGTTTAAAAACTACAGTTAGAAAATATAATGAACTCCATGAGGAATCAGTTATAGAAGAGAAACAGTAAATCATTTGGTGACCCAGTCTGACCCGGTCCCTCTGGCTCCCCAGGCCTACATGGAGGACCACCTGCGGAACAAGGACCGGCTGCTGAAGGAGTGGGCCGCTCTCTGCTCCTACCAGGCAGAACCCAGCGCCGTCTCCGTGGCCCAGAGCGACGCCAACGCCAAGAAGAACCGCTGCCCTGACTCGGTGCCCTGTGAGTTACTCCACACACTGACACCGGCCCGGTAGAACCAGAACCTAACCGGTCACATGTTCTGCAGATGACCACTCCAGGGTGAAGCTGAAGGCCGACAGCAACCCATCTCGCTCCGACTACGTCAACGCCAGCACCATCGTAAGTCCACTCAGACCCACAGCCTTGTTCTGATGGTTCTGGTCAAGGAGCTGACCTCTGCTTGACCTCTTCCTGACCTCCTTGCGACCTGCAGATTGAACACGACCCCAGGATGCCGGCCTACATCGCAACCCAGGGCCCCCTGTCACACACCATCTCTGACTTCTGGCAGGTGAGTTCAGAGGGGAAGCAGGTGTCATGGCTGCTGCCCGCTTCATCAGTAACAAATATGGCTGCTGCCTGCTTCGTCAGTAACAAACATGGCGGCTGTGTGTGTGTGTGTGTGTGTGTGTGCGTGTGTGTGTGTGTGTGTGTGTGCAGATGGTTTGGGAGAATGGCTGCACAGTGATTGTGATGATGACTGCTCTGGTGGAGGATGGGGAGAAGCAGTGTGACCGCTACTGGCCAGATGAAGGCTCCTCCCTCTACCACATCTACGAGGTGGGTGGAGGTTGGACAGGTGTCCAGGTTGGACAGGTGTCCTGGTGTCCAGGTGTGACTCCCCCCTCTCCCTCCTCCTCCAGGTGAACCTGGTGTCGGAGCACATCTGGTGTAACGACTTCCTGGTGCGCAGTTTCTACCTGAAGAACGTGCAGACGCAGGAGACGCGCACGCTCACGCAGTTCCACTTCCTCAGCTGGCCAGCGCAGGGAATCCCCACCTCCACGCGCCCCCTGCTGGACTTCCGCAGGTACTGCAGCTTCCCGTCTGCTTTGGTCTCAACCTGGGATCTTTATGGATTATTTGGACTTGTTTTCATAGCTACAGAGACAATGCTGGGTATGAATCCCTAACGTGTCCTGTTTCTCTGTCAGGAAGGTGAATAAATGCTACCGCGGACGCTCCTGCCCCATCATCGTTCACTGCAGGTACAATCAGCTGATCCCAGGTGTTACAACCAAGGGACTGTTTCTGATTCGCTTTTCCTGTGTTTCCATAGCGACGGCACTGGGCGGACCGGGACGTACATCCTGATCGACATGGTTCTGAACCGCATGGCTAAAGGTGCAGTAGATGTGGGGTGAGGCGGCGACTGCTGCTCCAGTCACTGACCGACTGATTCTGGTTCCCCGCAGGCGTCAAGGAGATCGACATCGCCGCTACGCTGGAGCACGTCCGGGACCAGCGGCCCGGGATGGTCCGCACCAAGGTGAGTCCGAACCGGACCACCCTGATACACCAAACAGTAGCTCAGTTTTACTAAGCACACTTTAAACCCCCAAAACTTAAAACTAATCGTTTCTAGAGCAGATTCTTGTTCTGGTTTCTAATGCTTCTCAGCTCTGAAAGGCGTAAAGCTGAGCTACGCCGCCACCTGCTGGTGGCAGATGGAACTGACCCAGTGTTTGGTGCAAGGAGCCGCCCGGGGCGCCTTGTGGCCCCACACACTGAAAAAACAACTTATTTTTCAGCTCAAGGTTGGCGGTTCAGTCACAAAAAACCTCAGTGGCATTTTCACTGCCTTAAAAAAAAAAAAAGATACAAATTAAAATATTCTAAATACTTCAAGTACAAAACAAAGTTTCATAGTGAACTCATTAAATAAAACTTGAATGAGTGACCCAAATTCTGCTCGAGGACACAAACTGGAGGATATTTACAGAAATAAACTTAGTTTATATTTCTATACTCATTCCTCTTATTTTAATGTCATGTGCAGAATAAAGTGGAACATTTCATGGCCCTTCATTAGTTTGTACTGACTGAGTTTTGTCCCAGGAGGTAAAAGTTTGTTGGGGACATGAGCGCCACCATCCTGTCTTCCTCTCCAGGACCAGTTTGAGTTTGCTCTGACGGCAGTTGCAGAGGAGGTGAACGCCATCCTCAAGGCATTGCCCCAGTGACCCCTGGACGACCCCCGGCACCGACTCAGGATGATCTAGGCGATGTGTTCAGGAGCATTCAGGAGAACCTGCGTGAAATGTGCATGTGAATGCACCACAAGCTTTACCCACCCAGACAGCTGGTGTTGTGTTGTAGCTGAACCTGCAGAGGCGGATCCGCTCCAGGTTTTCTCTGCTGCTCATGGACCCCGCCCCCCCTGTGCATTTCCTGTCTATGTAGTGTTACCCTCCAGCAAGAGAAAACTATAAAAATAAATCTGATTTTGTAAGTGTGACTTTAAATAAATCTGTGTTGCAGCAGCTGTGTGACTTCCTGTGTAAATAACTCAACCAATCAGGTTTCAGATCAACTTTATTAATTTTAAGGCACAAACATGATAAATCAAGTCAGTGCGTTCAGTACTCCTCCCCCTCTTCTTCATCGCCAACGCTGTCCGTCCCCACCTCCTCGTAGTCCTTCTCCAGGGCGGCCATGTCTTCCCGCGCCTCCGAGAACTCGCCCTCCTCCATGCCCTCGCCCACGTACCAGTGGACGAAGGCTCGCTTGGCGTACATCAGGTCGAACTTGTGGTCAAGGCGTGCCCAGGCCTCGGCGATGGCCGTGGTGTTGCTGAGCATGCAGACGGCGCGCTGCACCTTGGCCAGGTCTCCACCCGGCACCACGGTGGGCGGCTGGTAGTTGATGCCCACCTTGAAGCCAGTGGGGCACCAGTCCACGAACTGGATGGAGCGCTTGGTCTTGATGGTGGCGATGGCCGAGTTGACGTCTTTGGGCACCACGTCGCCACGGTACAGCAGGCAGCAGGCCATGTACTTACCGTGGCGAGGGTCGCACTTCACCATCTGGTTGGCGGGCTCGAAGCAGGCGTTGGTGATGTCGGCCACCGACAGCTGCTCGTGGTAGGCCTTCTCGGCCGAGATGACGGGCGCATAGGTGGCCAGGGGGAAGTGGATGCGGGGGTACGGCACCAGGTTGGTCTGGAACTCTGTCAGGTCCACGTTGAGCGCGCCGTCGAAGCGCAGCGACGCCGTGATGGACGACACGATCTGGCCGATGAGGCGGTTCAGGTTGGTGTAGGTGGGGCGCTCGATGTCCAGGTTGCGGCGGCAGATGTCGTAGATGGCCTCATTGTCCACCATGAAGGCGCAGTCCGAGTGCTCCAGGGTGGTGTGGGTGGTCAGGATGGAGTTGTACGGCTCCACCACCGCTGTGGACACCTGGGGAGCCGGGTACACGGCAAACTCCAGCTTGGACTTCTTTCCATAGTCCACAGAGAGACGCTCCATCAGCAGAGAGGTGAAGCCAGAGCCGGTTCCCCCACCGAACGAGTGGAAGATCAGGAAGCCCTGCAGACCGGTGCACTGGTCGGCCTGAAAGCAGAACACACCCAGAACGTCAGGAGGAGACTGATGCCACGCAACAAGACTGCAATACAGCCAGGCCTCAACCTAACTGCAACTCAGTCCAACCAGACCATGACCCCTTGACCCAGCCGGGCATCATCTCTACCACACCTTGACCCAATGAGACCTTGACCCTTGAAGCCAACAAAACCCTGACCCACCAGTTTGCGTGTCCTGTCCAGAACCAGGTCGATGATCTCCTTGCCGACCGTGTAGTGGCCCCTGGCGTAGTTGTTTGCTGCGTCCTCCTTGCCGGTGATCAGCTGTTCAGGATGGAAGAGCTGCCGGTACATTCCTGTACGGACTTCATCTGTTGGAGGGAAAAACCTTCAGCGTCAGCCATGTTTTCTGAACATGTTTCCATGTTTAAGCTGCTGCGTTTCCAGGCAGCACTGACCAATCACGGTGGGCTCCAGGTCCACAAAGATGGCTCTGGGGACGTGCTTCCCAGACCCAGTCTCACTGAAGAACGTGTTGAAGGAGTCGTCTCCACCTCCGATCGTCTTGTCACTGGGCATCTGGCCGTCCGGTTGGATGCCGTGCTCCAGGCAGTAGAGCTCCCAGCATGCATTGCCCATCTGGGCACCGGCCTGGCCCACATGCATAGAAATACACTCACGCTATGGAGAAGAGGAGAAAAGTGATCAGGCTTAATGGTTTCTGACTTTAGGTATGATAAATAGCTGAGCAGCACACCGGCCCTTTAAGAGGAACTCTATCAGTATAGCTAGCAGATGCTGCATTGTGAACTCATTAAGGAGATTTTAGTAAAGTTCAGCCACATTTCCTAATCAGGAAACCAGATTACAAAATTACTTCCTACACCTACTTATCCAGACTATTTTCTAGATGTTCTCCGTCGTTTCAAAGCTTTAACTCCTCCGTTTAATCATCGGATTACAGAATGCACCTTGAACGCACCATCCCAGGAGCAGTGACGTAGTTTCCGCCCTCAGGTGTCTCAATGCAGACCAGTTGGATCTTGATCCAACTGGGTCATATGAGTGTTTATTACCCCTCACATCACGGAGAAAAAGGGAAAAGCCCCATCGACGCAGGCAGGAAGCCGCGCTCCTGCCCCACCCCCAATGTAACGTCCACGGACCCGCAGGGCGTTATCTGTCCGCCTCACATTTAAAAGTTACCGCCCAGAACTCCTTTAGCTAAAATACATTTAAAAATGACCCGAGTTTATTTAAAATAACTAAACGGAATATGTGAAAGCACTGACTGGCTAAAGGATTATAAAACTGAAGTGTAAACTGTGAAACTGTGATCTTTTTAATCTGCGCCAACATGGCCTTCTTCGACGCCGATTAATGGAAAAAAATGTTGCAGAGAACACGGATGAAGTGTGACTTATACATTTGTTTAAAACATTTCAACAACTTTTTCTCTCTGTAGATGCGTCTTTTACGATATAAATGCGAGTTTTAAGCGGTTTACTCACCATTTTGAGATGTCTGTCTCCTTCTCTCCGACGTTCAAGGATCGGCAGTTGGAAGCAGTGTGTGACGCAGCAGGAGAGCCGCTCGCTTATAAAGGCTCACAGGGGGCGGGGCTACGAGCGGTTTGAACCGGCTGAAGGCGGGAGATTACCGGAAGCAGATAAACTAACGTCACAAGTACAACCATAGACGTATTTATGTCTATGAGTACAACAGAGTACTACAGTCATACCAAGAAAAATAAAATGACGAGATAAAGTCGTAATATTTCTAGAATAAAGACTAAAGTTATAATATTACAAGAATAAAGTCGTAATAATACAAGTCACTGTATTTTGAGAATAAAAGTTTAAAAAGTTCTGAGAATATTTTTTCTTAGTGTATGTAACTCTTCTTGTTTAGTTGTCGGTCACCTAGTACAATACAGAATAAAAAACTCTTCACAATGTGGCTTTGACTGCAGGCAAGTGGTCCGACAAGCTGAAAAATAAAAGCCACGGTTAGTGTCGTGACTGAGTGGTCAGCCTCGAACACCAACCGGCGCAGCTCCCACTCATAGGGTCACATTTTTCCAGCTCAACCACGAGAAAAACTTTACAAATTATATTTGTAGATGTTAAATATTCTTATAGTACTTCATTAATTGTTGAACTAGAAAAATATGACCCTAAGTAAAAAAAGAAGTAAAGAGCTGCTTCTCTCGCACCTACCTCCACCAGCGTTCTGGTGGGGGAAGCCATGAGATCAAAAATCTCACAAACACATTCAACCCTACAATCATTTTGATCAAAATTCACACAGACACACACAAGCTCCTCTCTCTGTTACACGTAGCCCCAATACTCCGTCGTACAGAATAAACAGGCTTGTTAGTTATTTGCTAACTTAATAGTAAAATAAATATTTAGCTTAACATTTCAAACCAATTCATAGGATTTCTAACTTTGATAAAGGATAGAAAAATCTCACTTGAATCACACAGACTATCTGCTCATATTTATAGTTTTTAATGTTCCTTAAGCATAGATATATATATATTTTTATAAATTGACCTTATATCCAAATGGGTGAGCCTAAAAGCAAACAGGACAGATCAGAAAAAGTCTTGCAGTAGGAACATTTTATGGATTTTAATGGATTTTACTTTTTATTAAAACATCTTTAAATATCAAAGATTCCTCTAAAGTCCCAATATTGTCAACAACCTTATAATAAAAGACTAAAGCCAGTCACCGTCTAAAGCATGCCATCCCAGAGCAGGTTCAAAGTTTCATACATTAACAATCTTTATTTAAATGTGCAGTTTAAAACAAAAACTATTTTTTTTGAAGATTTTTGGACATCCAAATAAAACAACATCAGATTATTATGTGGTATAATGTCTCATTTGTTTGGTTTAAGACGATATTTTAAAGCAGGAAAGCGATTTGTGGTTCTGAGAGGCCAGCTCAGGAATGGCAGGAATGAGATTTAGTCTGGATTAAATTAAAGAGCAGAGCTAATCCAAGTGATGTAGGTCAAAGGTCTAAACATAATGATTCATTGTTTCTCACAGTCCTCAGTAATTCAGCATCATTCAGATATTTTAGTGGAAAACATTTAAAAATATTAATCAGCTTATTCTGCCGCTGCAGGGGAATCTCAAGATGTTTCCGTGAAACTTTACGCTTATTTTGGACTAAGAGCAACATGAGGAGCTGAGCTGAGAGTATGCAGAGGAACAGGAGTCCTCTACATACTCCAGGACAGAAAGGACGGCCCACAGGGATCACTGGGAACACTGGAAACACAATGTTTATAGATGAATGAGATGAAGGCTCTTTTTGTCCCTCAGTTGTTGCTGTAAAGCGTTCTGAAGTCAGCTGTTTAGAGCATTTCTTCATTTGTTCATCATCAGAAAGGTTCTGGCTCCCGGGTTGGTGCTGCCTGCTGACTGGCTGCCTGCTGATTGGCTGTCTGATTGAAACTGGACAATCCAAATGGTTCAAACCATAGACATAATATAAGAGTAGACCCCGCATTGGCTGCTCCGGCGCAGGAAATACGGCGGCCATCTTGGAGCGGTATA